TAATTAATTTTTTTTAAATCATGTATACGTTAATACAACTTGGATTCTGTTGGTTTAATTTGATTCAATAGTTTTTTTCGAGGTATATTAATTACAAAATAATTTTGTGTGATTGTTATATATTGAAGATAACGCCACTTAGGTTTTTATATGATTTAACAACAGTTTTTTTTCGAAGTCATATTATAAATATATTTAAGATAATACAAAGGTCTCATTTTTTTCATTCTGATACAATTTTTTTCGAGGTAAAAACGTTAAAAATATACTTGGCGGATTTTTTACATTTTTAATGTCTTTTCCACGGATATATATATATATACACACACACACATTATACATGCACTAAATGTCGCTAGAAATTATTTCTTCATATATGTAGAAAGAGCAAGAGTAAGTGGAAGAGAGAAAAAAGGAGAAAGAGAGAGGCAGAAGAAAAAGAAAAAGATAGAAAGGAGAAAAGAGAAAGAGAGGGGGAAGAGAGAGAGAGAGAGAGAGAGAGAGAGAGAAAGCACATTTTGTAGTTTCTTCATTTACTATGAAACTGTTTTGCAAATGAGTAGATTCATTATTGACAAGATAAACGCATTTCTGGGTAAACAGGCTTTCAATTCTCTGATTATAATTGTGAATCTGCGATTTGTCGTTTTTTTCTGTATGTGTATATATGTATATTATTAATTTATCTGTAATTTAAACACAAAAGGAATTTTAAACTTATTGTTAGATTAGGATTAAATATTAATCTACTAATAAAATCTAAGATATACGTAAACAATTAGCACATTTACATCTTTTTTAGATGTCTTTTCAGTACATTTTAGACATTCTTGTTTTCTGAAAAACAGAATTTATGAAATCAATTTTAAATGTTTTTAAAAAAACTAAAGCAATCTACAGAGACATAAACTATTTTAAAAAGAGAGATTTGATTGGATAAGAGAGTCGATACCTAGAAAGCTGCGCAAAATTTAGAAAGCGTACTGTTTTTAATATTCTCTCAGCGATCTCTCACGTAATCGAGACTTTTCATCTATTTTGTATTTTTAGGAATACAAAGACTTTATGGACGCAGAAAACATAATGCCTCTTGCTACTAGCGATTTTCGTAACCCAGTGTGTCAAGAAATGAGGTCTCTTAAATTCAGTAGCGGCAGTGGTGGAGGAGAAAACGGCGCAGAATATTTAGGTTTATCGCTCGTGGAATCCAAAATATCTCCGATTCAGCCATCAGAAACGTTAAGCTTTGCCAGGATGATGTATAACGAGCAGGAATACCACTATGCAAAGACGTACAATGAACAAGGAAGCATCGATAGTTCGGATACATATGCGAGCTGTCAAACACATCCATCACATTCACAGGTATGAGAATTGATGTCGCATACGTAATAATAAATTAATTTTTTTGTGTATGTAGTATAGTAAATACTCTTTAATTATGTATTAATTTGTCTTGTGCAAATCTCGCTACTGGATAATTTACCAAGATATAGAGTTCAACAAAAATCTGAGGCGTACGTATAGCTATGATGTAAAAATGTAAGATATATTTCCGAATTAGATGCGCAGTTTTGTTCAATATGGTCGCTACTCTTTGAGACAAAAATTTTCCCCAGATTATATAAGACAACATGTTTGTCATTAAAGTGATGTTGGAAGGATGGATAAACTTCACGGCCTTACTATTTCAACGATTTTTTCACATATGTACGATATTGATGTAATACTGTGCGTGCAATATTGATAGCTGTAGTGATACATTGATGTTTATTATCATATCAATATTTAATAGATTTGGAAATTCTTTTTCAGAATTAAAGTATGCGTATTAATACTAATCTGAAGCTCGGAGCTTATATGTCAAAAACGAAAAAAATTTTAATTTTTTTTACAGTTGTGGCGTCTAGAACTATCAAATTGAGACAATATATACTGGATATAAAAGATCAATTTGTACGTACGAAATTGCGGTGACTAGACTACATGAAAAACAAGAGTTTTTAGAATTAAATTTAGGTACTTAATTTTCGAAAAATATGTACACACGGGGACAATAATGCCTATATATCTGAAGTTGCATGCGTAACTAGAGAGACCAATGAGAAGCACGCGTTGGACAGAAAGGCGCGTTTTTCTTTGGTCTCTCTAATTACGTATGTAATTTCGGATGTGTAGGCATTATTGTTCCCGTGTGTACATATTTTTCGAAAATTAAGTACCTAAATTTAATTCTAAAAACTCTTGTTTTTTCATGTAGCCTAGTCACCGCAATTTCGTGTGTACACAAAAATTTATTACAATGTATGTGTACGATATTGATGTGGTAGTCAAAAGACACAAGCGTGTCTCAGCGCTAAAGAGTACGCGTGAGATCAAACCGGGTCTGTTTATGCGAGCTGGCGAGTACGATAAATACATATAAACACATCACTATTATGACATCAATATTGCACGTATACATACGCACAAATTGTCGGTAAAACAGCAACATTATAGAATTTGGCCATCGCGTCAGCATGGCGATTAAGGCGATCTCAGCAAACATCGAAATCTTATAGAAATCTAAAAGATATCTTTTTGAAGATGTCTTCAAGAAATTTCTAAAAGATATCCAGAAGTTGTCAAAAAGATGTCAAAAAAGATTTTGTTGAAGATATCTTTGTAGAATTTCTGAAAAATATTCATAGACATCTAAATAAAGCCATCTTTAAATATATCCTTAAACTATTCGTAATAGACATGAAGTTATCTAAAAGATGTCTACAAACATTTTGTTGAAGATGTTTTTATAGAATTTCTAAAAGATATATAACAGACATCTGAAAGATATTTTAAAAGATATCTTGAAAATATTTGATATAGTTATGTTAAAAATATATTTAAAAGTAAAAAGTAAAAGTGTTTGTATAGTGTCTATATCCAGATAATCAATTATGATTAATCATATTGAGCAAACTAATGCATTGCATGACTTATTATACATATTTGCCATAAATTTGCTGACATCAAAAAAGGACATAATACGAATACAGCAATATAACTGCTTATACATATAATCAGTTAATGAAATTTGAAGAGCAAAACGGTCAGCAATATCAGTGATACATTATGTTGTCGGCAACTTGTCAGCAATAAATAATTAAAGGTTCTATCTTGAGCATCATGATGAAAATACGTCGGCAACAAAACATATGTTATATGATTTCCATTTGTTGTTGCGTATATGTCTTCAAGCTATGATATTTTTTAATTGTAACTCGTTGTTAACAAAATGTTGATAATAAAAAATGTCATACGTTTACGACAACTTTTTGGTAAAAAGATATAGTTTTTTAGATTTAAAGTATATATGAATACTTACAAAACTGACGCTAGATAACGTTTGTTGGTATTTGTTTCTTGCATTTAAAATTTGGTTAAGCTCTCTATATAACCAATATCGAACCAAATCGAAGTTCGGACATGTCATAATTATTTGCGCACTCTTTATAATTATGTGTGGACTAGTATAAAATATGAAGATAATGTTTTGGAGCAAAGAAGCTTGTTATTGTTAAAAAATGGATTTTAAGATATCTTTAACACATCTGAAAGATATTTTCAAGACATCTAAAAGATATCGTCTAAAAATCTTTGAAATATAATATATTTAGATACCTAAAAGATATCTTTAAGATATCTTTTAGGTATCTAAATATATTTATCATTACGACTTTCATCTTTTACAGAATCTTTCAGATTCTGTAAAATATCTTTAAGACATCGCCAGATATCTGAAAAATATCTTAAACTGTAGCATAAGACATCTTTTAGATTCCTAAAATTAAACGATCTCTTGCAATATCTTGAGATATCTTTAGGGAAAGACATCTTTTAGATCCTTAAAAGATGTCTTTCCGTAAAAAATGTAAGAGATCGTTATGAAGTCTAAAAAACATCTGTTTGTTTATGTGGGATCTTAAACTGGAGATTAAACTCCAAAAATATCATTGTTTTACCAACGATTTGTGAGTATGTATGCGTGCGATATTAATGTAGTAGTGTGTAGCAATATATATTTGTTTACTACTATATCGATATCGCGGGAAGATCCCGATTGGCACGTTACGATTGCCGATTGGACACAGCCACTCACAGTTACCGGTGCCTAGAGGCTTTCTAGTTCCAAGCGCTGTGATTGGCTTGTGTCCAATCGTAACGTGATCAATCGGGTGCCATTCGATATCGCACGTACACATATCGTAACACATTTTTAAGCATATACATTTTTTTATTACACATCCAAGCCTAATTCTATGAATTTAATATTGTTTACACATGTAATTCGCAGTTCCAGTTGATATAATTTTGTACCTGCAACAAATTGTCAAATTTTTGTGCGAAGCAAATATTGGCACACATTAACAGCTCTAAATGCTATATTGGACTAAAATTATAAGAAAAGATAACAAAGATCTAAATTTCTTAAATTTTTTTTGTTCTCAGCATAACTCTACCAGCCGGAACTACATTGATGCTTATACTTTAATTGTAGAGAAGGATTATTAAATTTGTTGCCTTAAATTATGTTTATTTTGTCATGGAAAATAATTACTTAAGACGATCCGTCTGTTTTATCGACCAAAAGTGATTATTTTCAATGACAAAATAAATATAATTAAAGGCAACAGATTTAATAATCCTTCTCCACGATTAAAGTATAAACATCAATGTAGCTCGAGCGGTTTTTGTTGTGTTGTATTATCGGTTGATGAATTTGCGCCTCCAATCTTGTTGAGGCCTTTTACGAATTAGTTCCTTCCTATACAGAACAAAAATCTCTATTAGACATCCTTTAGACGTTCTTCATAGATATTCGAAACCTCCATTAAACATTCATGTAACTTCCTATAGATATCTACTAAACATCCATAATTCCGCATTTTGTATTTCCATTCGACCTTTATTAGACGTCCATATTTATAAATATTTTTCAAAGGTTGTGTAAATCAATTCTAAATCTCATAAAGTTTCGCTAGATTTTATAGATTTCTAGCAACATAACAAAATACAAATAACTACATTTAACAAGAACATTTCAAATTCCTGAAATTATTTTTACATAAAACTCAATAAAACTGTATTATCAAAACAACATCTAATTTAGTTTCATCTTAGAAATCAATTTTGAGGACTCTTTCAAAGAATCAT